GAAGCAAGAATACTGGCACCGCCATGCGTAGCAAGCAAGCAGCGACAAAGGCAAGAACCACTCATCAGCTCCTTGATGACTGGAGGCCCTGCCGACCATAAACGCTAGATTAAACATCATCGACTGCTCGCCCGCAGGACCTTCCAGCTCCGTGATGTTAATGGCGGAGAGGGTCGCCAAAACATCCATGGCACACACCCGAGCTTCGGGGAGATCTGGGAGCCACTCGTTGCCGAGCAGTTCCCAGAGCGTAACCCCGGCACTGAAAGCGTCATGGAGCTCCTAAGACAGCATCTGCTTCACATGCACTGCAAATCTGAGGAACTGGGCCCACGACGGTGGATGGATTCTCGCGAAGGACGAACTCCGGCATGTACTTCAGCGTTCCGCCCTTAATGCTTAATAAAAATATGGTGGTCAATAATGGCTCTACGATGGCTCCCCTGCTTCGGCTCCAACCGCTTGCGCATCTCTAGGTGTGGAGGGGCAGATGTACTGCCGAACCACCATACAACAAATCCTGGGCCGCATTTGCCCCAACCAGTTGCGCACCTCTAGGTGTGGAGGGGTTGCGCACCTCTAGGTGTGGAAGAGCAGATGTACTGCCGAACCACCATACAACAACTATCCTGCGCGCATTTGCCCCAGCCTGTTGCGCACCTCTAGGTCTGGAAGAGCAAATGTACTGCCGAGCCACCATACAACACCTATCCTGCGCGCATTTGCCCCAGCCTGTTGCGCACCTCTAGGTCTGGAAGAGGAGATGTACTGCCGAACCACCATACAACAAATCCTGCCCACTTGCCCCAACCAGTTGCGCACCTCTAGGTGTGGAGGAACTGCCGAGCCACAATACAATCTGCATTTGTCTGAGGCGCTTTCCATATACATGGGGTAGATGTGTTTAGGAGAGCTTCCATCTGCGCAACAACGCATGCTTTCGCTTCGGTTCCACTTTGTTTGGGGTGAGTTCCGTGTAAGTAGAGTGTGGCAAGGCTTCCATCTGCAAGAAAACGGATCGTTTGTCACAGTCTGCATCATATTTCCTGTGGCAAGTTTTTGATCTAAACAGTTGTGCTGCGTAAGTGTGAGTGCACCCAGCCGCTTGCACAAGCCAACTCCAACAGTCACTTGCGCATGCACTTGTGGAAGGGCAGCAATACCGCCGAACCACCATGCACCAGCTGTTATCAAGCTTTTCTAAGTTGCATGCCATGTCTGCCACCGCAGGGCTTGGGCAGCAAGCCCCAAAGTCTGCGAGCTTGAGCCTCCGTGGTTGTGCTCTCGATGATTTTTGTACAACAGCACGCCAGCCAGAGTTCCAGCCTACCATTGCCGTCCACTAGCACGTTGGCCAGCTTGATGTCCCGATGCAGGTTGTGCAAAACGAATACGGGCAACAGGAGCTCGTAAGCCTGAAGCATCAGATATGTAAAATCTACAATGTACTACAAAGGAGTTTCGGCTTTTAAAAACAGCAGCAACTTCAGAGCGCAATCTGCAGAGAAGCTGTGACCGATCGAACTTCAAAACATCTGGAAACCTTCCCGTCTCGCAAGAAAGCTCTCCGTCGTCCCTACTCGAAACATCGCGAAGCCCGCTGTTTCAGGGATTCCTGCGCCACAAACAACACGCAAATTGCCGCCAAGCTATTTCTCCAACTTGTCCAGGCACCTGACGGAAAGCAGGTCAGACATCCTTCCCTCGGAAAGTGAAGACACCTTGTCGCAAACCCTCTTCTTGCTGGCTCACGGTTCTCTGTCATCAATGCCATACCAGTAGCCTATCACTGTTGCGACAGATTCGGTCATGGAGTAAGTAACGTAGGTTTGGCAGCTATGCTCTGTCTACATCAAGCCGCAGTTAAAGTAAGTCTAAACTTACTTTCTAAGACCCCTGATCCTGTCACAATAGTTGAGTATGAGGGTGCTCAGAGTTGACCGTCGATGACATGCATCCTGAAGACACAGCAGGCATTGCACAATAGCAATTGGCAATCCCACAATCTAATAACATGACACTATCAATTAAACAATGGTTTGCTGTATCTAGAATACCATTACGAATAATTATCATGATCGTACAAGCATGCTCGCAAAACTCAGTTTCCGGTCATTAGATGGCTTGTATGTAGGGGGGCCTTGATAACTAGAATAGGGCTTCGGCACTATGGAGTGGTATTGGTAACCACCCAGAACCCTCTGTTACCTGGTCTTTAATACGTAATGGGCCGAATTAGAGGGTCCAAGTACCCAAATAGTAATGTTTCAGGTCTCAAATGGCGCCTAAAACCCTAAGCCCTCAACAATGAGCCTTAAAATGTGTAGGGCCAGTATGGCCCAGTTTTTGGGTTGAGGGGCTGTGGCGGGCAACCCCAATCTGCGGATAAGCAGCTAAAGTTCCGTGATGGGAGCTTGCCTCCTAAATCCTAAAACCCTCAACCCGAAACTCTAAACTCTACACCCCTACACCCGAAACCCTAAACCAAAGGTACGGCTTGAAGGATGCGTGGGAGCTTTTGAGTGGAGTTTTGCCGACTGGAGCATCCTGCCTGCGCGACATAGTGGTTCTCAAGCTCCTGAATAGCAACAGTACAGACACTCCGCGACTCGTTTGAATGGCTGCTCCCGCCTGCATGATTCTCTAAAGTTTCGTTGGCACTTGGATGAATGTTCAAACGTCACTAGGGCGGGGCAGTAGTGACAGTACCATAAAGAGTTGCTTGGCAAACCTGTTCGAAGGTTCTGGCTCCTAGGAGGCTTTCCAGAAGGGTGGTGGTGGACCTGGGCGTTTGTCCGGGTTGCGGTTGTCCAAAAATCCAGAACAAAAGTTCATCTCTGTATTTCAGGAACACAAAAAAAGAAAGAGCTTCAGAAGCTACAAGTGCTGAAGCAGTGTTCCTCCACAATCATGATGAAAGCTGACTGGAATGCCTCCCGAAACCCCAGTCTAGTCTTTGATTCGAATTGGCAAACCGTGCCTCCGCCGTGGCGGCACTGCTTTCACAGCAGCCCATGTCGGACCACAAGGGATCTATGAACGGGCTCTAGAATCAGAGCTTTAGAGTCTAGAGTTTACGGGGTGCGCTTTAGGGTTTAGAGTTTCGGCTTTAGGGCTTCGTGTTGAGAGTCCAGGGGTCATGGGCGGAGTTATGGGGTCAGGGGTCGCAGGGGTTACGGATTGAAGAAGTGCTTGGTTGTTCGTAAATTGGGGTTTATACCAGGTAAGGGTTTTATAGGAGTTGAAAGAAGTTTCATAAGGCTAGGCCACATAGGGGCTTAGCATTTCGGGATTACGGTTTCGCATTGGGAGTTTTGTGTATGTGTGCGTGTGTGTGCGCGGGTGTGTGTGTGTGTGTGTGTGTGTGCTTGGTGCATGCTGTGGTGCCAACATGCTTAGCTCAAGACGTTTCTGCAGCATGCAGAAGAAGCCATCGATGATTCGGAACCCTCGCGCTCAACACTCGATGACTTGGTTTCTGGACTTTTCCACTCGAGGAGCTCCCAGACTCCAACAATCAAATTTTGTGTTGAGGGTTGTTTTCATGACTTGGCAGAACCCAGCAGAGTGTAGAACACCTGATAAATTTGTTCCTCCTGCTGTTGCCACTGACTCATTGATGCAGTCTCCCTTTCACGAACACCCTGCCTGAGCCTCAACGTGGCTTTAGCAGCCATCTTGTGAAAACGAACTGAAACGCTCGCTTCATGCTCGGTTCAAGTCCAAGCTAAGTGGAAAGAGGGACGGGCTCCCGAAAGCCAAATGGTTCGCTAGATTTCCGGCTCGTGATACCGCTCCGACTGGATGCGACGGAATATTTCCGTCAAAATTCCTCGAATGAAATTCCTCCTTAACATGTCGTTGGCACGAATGATTCTGATCATCAGGCAACCTATATAGGGTCACCCAGGTCAAACTACATGGTGGCCCATCGACCGGAAGAGTAAGCCACTGGGATAATTATTGATCTGCTGGCTTGGGGGCCTAAATATTTGCAGGCTACTGCTTCACTGGATTGAGGGCCGAGACGTTTGCAACACAACATGAGATGTCATTCCACACATCCAAGTACGTGAACTCCCATATGTTTCTATCCAACGGGCGCGACAAGAGCTGCAACCTGGAGGACCTGTACGGCGGAGGAGTTTTGTTTTTTCTCAGCTGCGGCTTGGCTTGGTTTGATTTGCCTTAGCTTGGCTCAGCTCCGTCTCTGGGCAAGCGCGTCTAAGGCGCACGCGCCCGCGCGTCTAAGGCGCACACGGCAAATTACGCGCTCCAGGCCCACACAAGGTCCCGTTTAGTCCCTCAACACCAACCTATGAGAGGCCTCCGGAAGCCTCTGGAGGGTGTCGTTTGGGGTTGAAAGGTCCCGTTTAGCACGCAAAACCTGAGGGTTTTCGAGGCCTTGGGGAGAAGGAGCACAAGGAAGAAGTGACGAACATGAGCGTGAGCATGCTAAGCGAGCCGGCTTGCGTATGAAATTGTATGAGCTGCCGATGACAAAGATGACAAAGCTTTCAGTGGAACGCATCACTGCTTTTCAACTTTTGCACGGGCAGGACAGTCTGCGGGTATGGGATCTCTGTACATTGCAATGAAACGCGTGACTAGGCGGTAAACATCGGCCGTTATACCTGCAAGAAGATCAATCCTGCTGTTCGTGAACTTTGTTCACGTCTGCTTCTAGGCGCATCTACTATTGCTAGTTTACACAGTAGAACATGTAGATTCTCGTGGCTGCAGCAAGGCCTGATCATACTTAATCTCGCAAGTAAGGCGTTGTGCCAGCGCGAGCAAGATCTAACCGGTGGCTAACAGGGCTTCGATCTGCATTTCTGAAAATCTTGAGCGAACACAGGTGAGCAACAGTTTAAGGAAAATGCAGGAGCACTGAAGTAAGGTGTTGTCGTATCGACGTTGACTTCTGCTATGTAAAGAACTCCAGGGTTCCTGAACATGGGCTGCACATGTGGCCGCCTTTCGTCTCGCCTCAGAGCGAGTCATGCACGCTGACTCAAAGCAGCACAAGAGTTTCTCAGCTTCTTCAAGCGACGCAGCGAGATGGTGCTACGCACTCGTGCTGGTTCCAGCTGTATGGCTCTGTCGTAGTCCTCAATGGCGCCTTGGCAGTTCCCAAGCTTTTCTCTAGCAATGCCACGGTTGCGGTAAGCGACTGCGTTCTTCGGGTCCAGCTCGATGGCTACATCAAAGTCCTGGATAGCGCCCGTGGAGTCTCCCAGCTGTCCTTTGTCAACGCCGCGGTTGAGGAAAGTGACCGGTTCCCTGGGGTCCAGCTGAATGGCTCTATCGTGATCTTCCAGGGCCTCCCTAGAATTCCCGAGATGTCCCTTGGCAACTCCACGATTTCTGAAAGCATCTGCATGCTCTGGATCCAGCTGGATGGCCACGTTGAAATCCTCGATGGCACCCTTCGAGTCCCCGAGCTGTCCCTTGGCAACTCCACGATTGTGGAAGGCAGCTGCAATCTTTGGATCCTGCTGGATGGCTTTGGTGTAATCTTCAAGGGCACCCTTGCAGTTCCCGACCTTCTCCTTGGCAACTCCACGATTCAAGAAAGCAACTGTGTTGCTGGGGTCCAGCTTTATGGCCACGTCGAAATCCTGTACGGCTCCCTCAGGATTCCCAAGATGACCTTTGAGAAGCCCACGTTTACGAAAGACATCCGCATCATTGGGGTCCAGCTGGATGGCAGAAGCATAGTCCTCAAGCGCACCCTCGAAGTTTCCCAGATGTCCATTGACAATTCCGCGATTGCGGAAGGCAAGTGCCCATGCTGGATTTAGCTGAATGGCCCTGTCGTAGTCCTTCAGAGCACCCTCGCAGTTCCCAAGCTGTCCCTTGGCAACGCCACGGTTCAGAATGGCAGCTGCGTTGTTCGGATCCAGTTCGATTGCCTTGTCGTAATCCTCCAGGGCATTCTCACAATTTCCAAGCTTTTCCTTGGCCACTCCACGGTTCAGAAAAGCTAGCGCATTGTTTGGGTCCAGCTGGATGGCTCTGTCATGGTCCTTGATAGCACCCTTGCAGTTCCCAAGCTTCTCCTTGGCAACTCCACGATTGAGGAAGGCAGTGGCCTCGCTGGGGTCCAGCTGGATGGCCCGGTCGTAGTCGGTCAGAGCACCCTGGCAATTCCCAAGCCTACGCCTCACGATTGCACGGTTGACAAAGGCAGCTGCGTCCTCGGGGTCTAACCGGATTGCCGTGTCGAAGTCCTGGATGGCAGCCTCTAAATTCCCTAACTGTCCGTAGGCGATTCCGCGGTTGCGGAAAGCTATTGTATCCTTTGGATCCAGCATGATGGCTCTGCTATAGTCCTTTAGGGCCCCCTCACAATTCCCAAGCTGCTCCTTGGCACCTCCACGGCTACGGAAACCAACTGCATCTTTGGGATCCAGCTGAATGGCTCTAGTGTAATCCTTCAGAGCACCCTCGCAATTGCCCAGCTGCTCCTTGGCAACTCCGCGAGTAAGGAACGCAGCTGCGTTCTTGGGGTCAAGCTGGATGGCCTTGCTCAAGTCCTCAACAGCACCATGACAGTTGCCGAGCTTCTCCTTGGCAAGTCCACGGTGAAGAAAGGCAGAAGCCCATTTCGGGTCCAGTTGGATGGCCCTGTCAAAGTCTTCCAAGGCCTTGCTGAGTTCGGCCAAGGTAGCCGTCTGCGCGGTATGCTCTCGGGCTTGAGTAGCACCCATGAGTCGTGCCCATCGGCCACGAGTGGAACCTTGCGTAGTTATCCTTTCATGCTGAGCCTCGATTCAGATCGGCATGCACACCGTTATGCCATGCCTGGCCTAAGCATGTCAGCAGAATCCCCAAAATTGGTCCAATAAGATATCGTACCAAAGTCCCGTTTCATCAGGGATGAGGAGCCCACAAACTGAAACCTAAACAAAGTGCTGGCAGAGCCCACAGCTTACCTCTCGGCGCTGCCACTATTGAGTTGAGTTGAGAGCTCAGAGTTATTCCTGATATCAGTCTGTCAACGTGTCATGAGCTCCATCGGAACTTTGTTCGTGTTAGTTTCCACTGCAAGGATCCTGCAGACCTGCTGCTACACCCGTACTAATGCTACCACTACTACTGGGCGAGCTACAAGTCTAAGTGCTGGTTACTCCAAAGACTTGGCTGATCTTGGCGGTGGTGTATGCGCTGATCTGCTGGTGCTGGTAGCGATAAGACATGAAAGCAGGCTTCATGTCTTCAGGTCACATGCCGCATCCTTTTCTGCAAAATGATTATTCTCTAAATTGTGTGTGTGTGTGTGCGTGCGTGCGTGCGTGCGTGCGTGCGTGCGTGCGTGCGTGCGTGCGTGCGTGCGTGCGTGCGTGCGTGCGTGCGTGCGTGCGTGCGTGGGTGC